AAGTCAGTGACTTAATTAAGAAAGTAAAGGAAGAGGATAAAAGTCAATGACATAATTTAAAGGCTTTAGAAAGAGGATAAGAATTATTCATTGTCGTATAATAAGAGAGTTTAACAGAATAAGCATGAAGAATTAGTTATTGACGTAATTAAGAGGTTTTTGGAACAGATGAAATTAGTCATTAGATATTTAAGAGGTAATTAAGAGAAGAGGATAAATAAGTTTTTGAATTAAGAAATTATTCATTGATGTAATTAAGAGGGATAAGGAAGAGAATAGAATTAGTGATTGACGTAATTAGGAGTGTTAAGGAATGAAAAAAGAAAGTCAGTGACTTAATTAAGAAAGTAAAGGAAGAGGATAAAAGTCAGTGACATAATTTAAAGGCTTTAGAAAGAGGATAAGAATTAGTCATTGTCGTAATTAAGAGAGTAACAGAAGAGGATGAGAATTAGTTATTGACGTAATCATGAACGTAAAGGAGGAAGATGAAATTAGTCATTATCATATTTAAGAGAGTGTTATAGAAGAGGAATATAATAAGTTTTTGGCGTAAGTAAGAAAGTTAGTGAAGAGGATGAGAATTAGTCATTGACATATTAAGTCAGTGACATAATAGAGAGATTGATGGAAGAGGATAAGTATTAGTCATTGAGCATTTATGAGGGTTATGGAAGAGAATAAAGAATAAGTTATAGAGGCAATTAAGAGAGTTAAAGATGAGAATGTGAATTAGATATTGACGTAATTAAGAGAATGAAGAAAGAAGATGAGAATTAGTCAAGGACGTAATTAAGAGGGTCTTGGAACAGTTCAAGAATCAATCTTTGACATAATTAAGAAGGAAGAAAAGGATAAGACAATTAGTCATTAACATAATTAAGGAGGTTTAAGGGAAGAGGATAAGAATTAGTCATTAATTTAATTCTGAGAGGTTAGGAAGAGGATGAGAATTAGCTTTTTATATGTATTTAGAGGCTTAGGGAAATTAGGAAGAGACATAATTAATTGGTAACATTAAGAATGAGGGTATTAAGATGATTAGAATAAATATTGATGTATAAGAGAGGGAAAAGAAAGTTTGAGAATAAGTCATTGAAGTAATTAAGAGGGTTACAGAAAAAGACAAGAATTAGTCATTAAGGTAATAAAGAGAGATATGGAAGAGAATAAGAATTAGTGATTGATGTTATTAGTTGTGTTAAAGAATAAAAAGAGAAAGTCAGTGACATAATCAAGAGAGTGAAGAAAGAGGATGAAAGTCAGTGACATAATTAAGAGACTTTAGAAAGAAGATGAGAACTAGCCAAAGACATAATTAAGAGGCTTAAGGAATAGGAGAAGAATTAGTCATTGACGCAATTAAGAGTGTAATGGAAGAGGATGAGAATTAGTTATTGACATAATCATGAGGTTTGAGGACGAGGATGAAAATTAGTCATTGTCATGATCTAGAGGGTTATAGCCAAGAGGATGAGAATTAGTCTTTGACGTAATAAGTGACATAATAAAGAGATTTTTGGAAGAGGATAAGAATTAATCATGAGCATTTATGAGGGTTATGGAAAAGGATAAGAATTAGTTATGTAGGTAATTAAGAGAGTTGGAGATTAGGATAACGATTAGATATTGACATTATTAAGAGAATTAAGAAAGAAGATGAGAATTAGTCAAGGACGTAATTAAGAGGGTTTGGGAACAGATTGAGAATTAGTCATTAACATAATTAAGATGGTTAAGGACAAGGATAAGAAATACTCATTGAAGTAATTAAACGCCTTTAGGAAGAGAATTAGAATTAGTCATTGACATTACATATAGGAAGAAGGATTAGGAAAAGGATAAGAATATTAAGTTATTGACATAATTAAGAGGGTTAAAGAAGAGGATAAGATTTAGGTATTGAGATAATAAAGGGGTTAAGGAAGAATATGAAAGTCAGTGACACATTATTAAAAGGGTCAAGTAAGAGGATGAGAATTAGTCATTGGCATAATTAAGAGAATGAAGGAAGAGGTTAAGAATTCGTTATTGACATTATTAAGAAGGTAAGGAAGAGGATTAGTCATTGAATAATTAAGAGGGTTAAGAGAGTAAGAATTAGTGATTGATAATTAAGATAAGGAAGAGGATAAGAATTAGTTATGGAGGTAATAAAGATGGTAGCGGAAGAGGATGAGAATTAGTCATTGACATAATTAAGAGTGTTAAGGAATTGGATAAGAATAAGTCATTGACATAGTTAAGGAATAGGAGATTAAGAGGGTAATTGGATTAAATTAAGAGGGTAACGGAAGAGAATAGGAATTAGTTATGAGAAAAAGTGTTTGGCATAATTAAGAGGGTTAGCGAAGAGGATGAGAATAAGTCATTGATGTAATATGTCAGTGACAGAATAAAGAGATTGATAAAAGAGGATAAGAATTAGTTATTGAGCATTTATGAGGGTTATGGAAGAGGATAAAAATTAGTTCTAGGGGTAATAAAGAGAGTTAAAGATGAGAATGACAATTAGATATTAACATTATTAAGAGAATTGAGAAAGAAGATGAGAATTAGTCAAGGATGTAATTAAGAGGGTTTTGGAACAGATTGAGAATTAGTTATTGACGTAATAAAGAAGATTAAGGACAAGGATAAGAAATAGTCATCGACAAAATTAAGAGGGTTAAGGAAGAGGATAAGATTTAGGTATTGAGATAATGAAGAGGTTAAGGAAGAGAATGAGAGTCAGTGACATAATTAAGAGGGTGAAGGAAGAGGTAAAGAATTCGTTATTGACATTATTAAGAAGGTAACAGAAGAGGATAAGAATAAGTTAATGACATAATTCAGAGGGTTACGGTAGAGGATGAGAATTAGTTATTGACGTAATTAAAAGGGATAAGGAAGAGGATAAGAATTGGTAATGGTGGTAATATAGAGGGTTATGGAAAAGGATGGGAATCAGTTATTGACGTAATTAAGAGAGTTAAGGAAGATGAAAAAATAATTCATTGAAGTAATTAACAGGAATAAGGAAGAGAATAGAATTATAGTGATTGATGTAATTAGGAGTGTAAAGGAATAAGAAAAAAATAAGGTGACACAATTAAGAGAGTAAAGGAAGAGGATGAAAGTCACTGACATAATGAAGAGGCTTTAGAAAGAGGATAAGAATTAGTCAAGGACGTAATTAAGAGGTTTATGGAATAGGAGAAGAATTAGTCATTGACGTAATAAAGAAGATTAAGGATAAGAAATAGTCATTGACGAAATTAAGAGGATTAAGGAAGAGGATAAGATTTAGGTATTGAGATAATGAAGAGGTTAAGGAAGAATATTAGTCATTGGCTTAATTAAGAGGGTGAAGGAAGAGGTAAAGAATTCGTTATTGACATTATTGAGAAGGTTACAGAAGAGGATAAGAATAAGTTAATGACTTTATTATGAGGGTTACGGTAGAGGATGAGAATTAGTTATTGACATACGGTAATTAAAAGGGATAAGAAAGAAGATAAGAATTAGTCATCAAGGTAATTTAGAGGGTTACGGAAGGGTTGCGGAAAAGAATTGAATGATGTAATTAAGAGAGTTAAGGAAGATGAAAAGAATTATTCATTGTAGTAATTAGTAGGAATAAGGAAGAGAATAGAATTAGTTATTGAGGTAATTAGGAGTGTAAAGGAATAAGAAATAATAAGGTGACACAATTAAGAGAGTAAAGGAAGAGGATGAAAGTTAGTGACATAATTAAGAGGCTTTAGAAAGAAGATAAGAAATAGAATTAGTCATCGAAGTAATTAGGAGGGTAACAGAAGAGAATGAGAATTAATTATTGACGTAATCATGAGGGTTATGGACGAGGATGAAATTAGTCATTATCATAATTTAGAGGGTTACGGAAGAGGATGAGAATAAGTTTTTGGCATAATTAAGAGGGTTAGCTAAGAGGATGAGAATTAGTTATTGACGTAATTAGTCAGTGACATAATAAAGAGATTTATGGAAAGGTATAAGAATTAGTCAGTGAGGATTTATTAGGGCTATGGAAGAGGATAAGAATTCATTACACTGGGTGAAAAAAGTGGTTTCCCATCATGGGAAACTTTATGGAAACCACATGGAATCCTCAAGTTTACATCATGTTTCCCAGTGGTTTCCGCAGCGGATGCTAGGTTATTCCGCCAAGTTTCCGTGACACGGAAACCCCCTACGCTCCGATTCCATAAGGTATCCCGAACCACGGAAACCTCTGTAAACCTGAAGTTTCCCGAACATCCATGTAGTTTCCCGTAATGGGAAACCTGAAGATTCCACTGGTTTCCAGAATCAGGAAACTTGATGGAATCGGAGCGTAGGGGGTTTCCGTGAAATGGAAACTTGGTGGAATCTTTAGGTTTCCTCTTACGGGAAACTACATGGAAGCTCGGGAAACCTCACGATTCCTATAGTTTCCATGACTCAGGAAACTATATGGAATCCGGGCGTAGTGGTTTCCGTGGAATGGAAACTTGGTGGAATCTTTAGGTTTCCTTATACGGGAAACTACATGGAAGCTCGGGAAACCTCACGATTCCTAAAGTTTCCTTGACTCAGGAAACCATATGGAATCGGAGCGTAGTGGTTTCCGTGCAATGGAAACTTGATGGAATCTTAAGGTTTCCTTTTATGGGAAACTACATGGAAGCTCGTGAAACCTTACAATTCCTAAAGTTTCCTTGACTAAGGAAACTATATGGAACTTGTGTAGCAGTTTCTGTGTGTCGGAAACTTGATGGAATTATCTGGAGTCCCATTTCTGGTGGAAATTACTGGGAAACTTCAAGATTCCTTAACTTTTCTAAAGGAAGCGATGTGAAATTATGTGTATTCTTTTAAATATCTATCCAAAAAATTTATTTCATGTAAAAGAAAAAAGCATTACCATTTTATATGTTTAATAATTCATTTGATGTAAAAAAACTGTAACTGTATTTTTCAATGATATCAAAATACTAAATAAATTCATATATCTTAGATAAACAATGGAACAGTCTTTCACATTTAAGTCCATTCATAAGGGTCATTAAGTACTTCTTTTAACATCAGTTTCCTGGTTTTCTTCACATCACCTATGATCTGCAATATTCATACAAAATTATTAGATGATGTCAGAATTATAATGCTTGAATATAACTTAAAAATCTGAAAGATCAGTCAATGTCCTTTAATATACAGTCAAACTTGTTTTAAGAGGCCAACTTTGGGAAGATTGGAAACTGGCCACTTAAGACAGTTGGCCTCTTATTCCAGTTTGCCCTTGAAATAGCCAGTCGGTAAAAAATGAACATTTAGCACCACAGTTAAATCAAAAATAATCAGAGTAAAACAGGTCAATTTAACAAAAGCTTTTATGTGCATTAATTTATGTACATTAAAAAATATTAAGAAACCCAAAAAGGTTTTGTTGTTATATTAATTGGGAGATTTTTTTTTAAATTTTGATATTCGACCTAGAAATTGGTTGAAGATCATTGCAGACCCTCCATCCCATTGCACAAAAGCTATATTACACCAGGAGAGAAATATACTCTGGACTAGGACTTTGAATAAAGATATACAGTACATTTTGATACTGACCTTTGACCTAGAAAATTAATGCAAGGTCACTCTTCATCCTCTATCCACAGGCTCTCTGTAGTTTAAGTTTGAGAGAGAAATATGTTCAGAACAAGTGATATCAGATGGAGTGATGGATAGACACTGTCAGGGCATCCACAGAACAGGACCTAAAAATAATGCAACTAAATGTATAATACAGTATAGATACACATGTACTTGTATGTTAATGATTTATCATATGCTGCATTGGACAGTGGACACGTATGATTTTATCATGGTTAACGGCCTGGCCCCCCACTTTTTTCCCAACATAACCTTTACTATAGTAAATGTTCCTTGATAGGATGGTTTGCCCCCCCCCCCACCTCCCCACCCCCAACCCCAGTTTATAACCATAGTATGGTGATATCAAGGATTGTAGGGAAAACAAGAGATGTTTGTTAAACACTTATGCCCCCCCCCTCCCCCACAAATTGGAATTTTTCTAAGTCCAAAAGGGCATAACTCTGTCAAAAATGGTGTGATCATACCCAAATTATAGCTTGACCAAGATATTCATCTGACTAATCTGTATACTAAATTCCATTTCAATATGTGTAACCTCTCCAAAGAAAATGAACGGAAACTGCAAAAATATGGAATTTTTCTAAGTCCAAGGGGCATAACTCTGTCAATTATGGTGCGATCGTACCCAAAACAGAACTTGATCTAGATATTCATCTGACTAATCTGTATACTAAATTCCATTTCAATATGTGCAACCTCTCCGAAGAAAATGAAAGGAAACTGCAAATAATTGGAATTTTTCTAGGTCCAAGGGGCATAACTCTGTCAAAAGTGGTGCGATCGTACCCAAAACAGAACTTGACCTAGATATTTATCTGACTAATCTGTATACTAAATTCCATTTCAATATGTGCAACCTCTCTAAAGAAAATGAACGGAAACTGCAAATAACTGGAATTTTTCTAAGTCCAAGGGGCATAACTCTGTCAATTATGGTGCGTCGTACCCAAAACAGAACTTGACCTAGATATTCATGTGATATACATGTATACCAAATTTCATTTCAGTATGTGCAATGGTTATGAAGAAAATGAACGGAAACTAAATGGACCGACAGACCAACCGACAGACAGACAGCAAAGCAATATGTCCACCCTTCTTCGAAGGGGGGCATAAAAATGGAAGTGATAGTAAGTTGGCTTTGAAAAAAGTTGGCCACTACCCCCCCCCCCCCCCCCCACAAGAAATAGGATTTTCGAGTTTGGGCAACATTGCCCCCCCCCCACTTTCAAAAACAATGCTATGTGCCTGATTTTATACCGGTATTGCATGTACACTCAGTTTATAAACAAGTAATTTAATTTTTTTTCAAAATATTGACCAACATTATTTACATCCATTCATCATATTGGCTGATCAAAATTCAGTCAGCTTTAGATCTATATGATATACCATACAGGACTTTCACATTTACAAAAGTTATTCCCCTTCGCAGGGTCAATCTGGGGTCAACCGGCTTAAGACGCCGTTTTCCCTCTTTAACCGTATCAACTTTGAGGGACAATATCTTAGAAATAAAATCTGTATGAACATATTCATTATGATTTTCATGTTGCCCCCATACTCTGGCAATACAGATACAGATCGTAATTGTTTGATATTGTTTGAAGATTGAAAATATTAACAAGTAACTTACAAAGGACAAAGTGGGAAAAATGAGCGATACGCCGACAATTGGAGAAAACTCTTAGGAATGTGAAATTCGTCTATTGGTGATGACAATTCCTGTTTTAATGTCACTGAAAAATTAAGAGACATTAAAAATTTAAGCCCTAATGTCATACACGCATGCTGTTTTTTCATCCATATAACCTTTTAGTATCATAAATTTACCAAAATTTAATACTTCAAATAATTTCATTGAATATCTATAAAACAAAGGAAACTCTAAAAACTTAGTGACTTGCAGAAATTATTCCTTGGAGAGAAAAAAATCTTTCATATTTCATATAAATATTTGCATAATGAGCCTTTTTTATTCATTTAGAACATATGGTATGTGTCTCATTTCCCCAAGAAATTTTCAAAGACAATGGACTATCTGTAAGCAGAAATCATTGCTGTTTACTTACATTTGAAAAATTTATGAAAATAATTAATTTCCTATTTTTTTTATTTTAAATAATGCTAAAAATAATTTAATCTATTACAAATAATCTAACTGACAGTAAAATAACATTTTTCATAATCTTAATCTATGGGCAGATCACTCTAACTTCATAAAACTACCTGATATCAAAGTAGAACTCTGTTTAGTGTGCAGTTTTTAGAGCTTCCTTTAAGTAATCAAAATACTGACCAGCAAGAAATCAGTTTATAAGCATATACTTTCTTTTCATTCAAATTTTTGGAGAGATCTCAAAGTTTTTTCCTGTTCAATTCAGGTTCGAGACGACAAAGTTTTATTGAAGTGTATGTATTAGAGAACTGATTGTATGTCAATCATAGCAATACACACATAAGATGGAGGGGGCAAATTGTTACAGCCCTAGCTTTTACATAAAACTTCTTGTAGTTCACAGCTGATAAACCACAGTCCAGTATTTAAACAAGAGGCCCAGGGGCCACAGCGCTCACCTGAGCACATCAGCTAGGAAAAACACATCAGATCAGAACTGAAAGTTAATTTAAGTTGGGGGGAGGGGGGGGCTTGAATTTTAACCGCCAAGGGGATCATAATTTGAACGAACTAGAATCTACATTACCTGAGGATGATTCCATACAAATATTACTAATCCTGGCTTTGAAGTACTTGAAAAGAAGATTTAACAAGAGGCCCAGGGGCCACAGCGCTCACCTGAGCACATCAGGCTTGAATTTACTCCACCCCCCCCCCTCCAGGCGTTCTTCATTTGAACAAACTAGAATCTACACTACCTGAGGATGATTCCATATAAATATCACAAATCATAGCTTTGAAGTACTTGAAAAGAAGATTTCAAAAGGTTTCCCTATATATTCCTATGTAAAACTTGGGTCGGCCATTTTGGCCCCACCCTAGCCCCGGTGGTCATGATTTGAACAAACTTGAATCTACACTACCTGAGGATGATTCCACATGAGTTTCATCTTTCCTGGCCCAGTGGTTCTTGAGAAGAAGATTTTTTAAGATTTTTCCTATATATTCCTATGTAAAACTTGGGTCGGCCATTTTGGCCCCACCCTAGCCCCGGGGGTCATGATTTGAACAAACTTGAATCTACACTACCTGAGGATGATTCCATACGAGTTTCATCTTTCCTGGCCCAGTGGTTCTTGAGAAGAAGATTTTTAAAGATTTTTCCTATATATTCCTATGTAAAACTTGGGTCGGCCATTTTGGCCCCACCCTTGCCCCGGGGGTCATGATTTGAACAAACTTGAATCCACACTACCTGAGGATGATTCCACATGAGTTTCATCTTTCCTGGCCCAGTGGTACTGGAGAAGAAGATTTTTAAAGATTTTTCCTATATATTCATATGTAAAACTTGGGTCGGCCATTTTGGCCCCACCCTTGCCCTGGGGGTCATGATTTGAACAAACTTGAATCTACACTACCTGAAGATGCTTCCACATGAGTTTCATCTTTCCTGGCCCAGCGGTTCTGGAGAAGAAGATTTTTTAAAAATGCCATTAATTTTTCACAAATTCATAATTATCTCCCCTTGGAAGGGGGCGTGGCCCTTCATTTGAACAAACTTGATTCCCCTTCACCCAAGGATACTTTGTACCAAGTTTGGTTGAAATTGGCCCAGTGGTTCTTGAGAAGAAGATGAAAATGTGAAAAGTTTACGACGACAATGACAACAACAACAACGACAACGACAACGACGACAGACAACGGACAAATTTTGATCAGAAAAGCTCACTTGAGCCTTCGGCTCAGGTGAGCTAATAAAATTTAGAATCTTTTTTTTTCAGGCAATTGTCATATACATACCAATCATGAATGAATTACCACTTACCAAATGATCACATCCCGAATCATCATACATTTTCTATGATTTTATCTCACTGGTTTTCTTTTAAAGTCACGAAGTTTTCTTCTCTCTAAAATGATAAATTATGTCCAGGTACTATTGCATTCTAGTTTAAACTAATTATGTAATAGCATTAGCAACAACCAGGATGGGAGAAAAAATAAAAACAAGATGCGCTTGTGAAACACAGCAACAAAGTTTGAAAAAGCAATTTTTTTTAGCATACAGGTCACAGTCAAGATCACATAATCATTGTCCTTGTTGCCATTTGAAAGCACTTCATTAGTGGAGTATGCATACTGAATATGAAGCCACTATCTCGTATAGTTCTAAAGTTATGGTGAAGGTTTAAGTTGACAACAGACAGACACACAGATAAACAGTTATGGCAAAAGTTCGAATTTATTAACTTGGTATACACACAGCCACTTCGAGGTATCAAGGGTAAAATTCACAGCACAGCGGGACTGCATTTTGACTTCGAGGGATCAAGGGTTTCGAGAGATCAGGAGTTCGAGAACTCAAGAGCAAATCTGCTTAATTATATAGTGGAAAAAATCAGGACCGGAGACTCACTTCGAGCGATCAAGAACTTCTGAGAAATCGAAGTTCAAGCCATCAAGAGTTACCTGTATATACAGATATGTAAGAAGCATGTTATTTTTTGCAATTTTGACCTCATGACAGCTAAATCTGTTCAGTAAGACAACACCCTGTACATGTATGTAAGTAGTTTAATTGTGCATGATTATTTACTTATTTTCTTCTTAACTTGAAGTGTTCTGTATTTTATTACCAAGTTTGTAATAAACATAATGAAACATACCCTTTTCCACATCACATCCTGTATCAGACCTTCGACCAATATCAGCCCTAGGGCCTCTGTCCCTCTGGCTGATATTGGTGTCTCGGGCTAGTATTAGTTATGTAGACACTTAGAGGGGTAATACGGAAATATGTGGGGTCCTTGAAAAAATCCATATTGGGCGAGGCGTAAGCCGAGCCCAATATGCTTTTTTTTCAAGGACCCCACATATTTCCGTATTACCCCTCTAAGGGTCTACATAACGAATTTATCCTGCCGATGGTTCACTTAAAGATTAAATATTGATAGTATCAATAAACCGCTTTCACTGAACGTACAAGCAAGACGTTCTACATCCATTGTACGTTGTCGTCAGACGCATTGTGACGTCAGTTATGAAGCTCCATGCGGGTCACGTGAAAGCAGTATATTGATGATGTGTGGTTGGTAAATTTTTAATATATGGTGGGTAGGTCACGTGGAGGGGGCACATTAGCAATGTGAAGTGGGTAAACAGCATAACATCGGATCATGCACTATTGCTCTCGGCCAATGAAATTTCACGATTTTTATCAGAGGCAGGATAAGATGTGATATGCAGTCTTGTCGAAATCCGTCAGTCCTGTCGGCAAGGCCGGTAAAAATTTGTCTGGACCGATAACATTTAAGAAAACGTCGGTCCAGATGACCGTTTGAAAAATACTTGAGCGTAATGCAAATTTGATAAAGGTCGGGATCGGGATGCGTAATTAAAGGTCACAGACACAGAAAAAATGGCGGCATGTTGACGATAGCCAAGTAAATTTGTTATGACAAAGTCATAAAACATGTCATATATGTCTATGTTTAAGACTC